ACTGGACGATGGTATGATTGACAGCCGGAGTCTAGGAGGGAATAAACACTATCATTTTCTTTATCCTACCGATTCGATTGTGGTGGTGTGAATTCTACTTCAACAGTTTCAGGGCGATTGACGCGCCCTTCTTAACAAACCATCCAGTAGGAAGTATTGCGAATTGTGTTATTCGATTTGTTGGAGCGTGTCGTTGGAAGGAGATTCTTAAATTCCCGTGGATTTCGCGTAAGTGTCTCTGCTTACGTGTCCGCCCTTCCGTTTTTGGCCCTTCATACAGCGATATTGTGAATTCAGATCGGTGGCTCAAATTGATCTTGCTATTAAGTGGAGCTGCATACAAGACAAGTCTTGAAAGGATGGTGGCTACCTTACATACATACATACATACATACATACATAGTAGCCAATATGTCTTCTACCGTATGCGTGATAATGTTTGCCTCATCGTACAAATATGGTTCCCGTTTCACCTGTGCATACAATACCTTGGTTTTCTTTGCATGCACGTAACCTTTAGCTCATACCGTAGTAGGCTGTGTATAAAAGAAAATGATTTACTTACAGCGAATTCGTTTATTATTCAGTTCCAACCTGGATCGGGTATCAAGATCGGGTCTGCTTGTTTTCTGGCAAACGTCAGTTTGCTCGTTTGTTTTTAAAACCTAGCTAAGGTTGAGGTTCACACTGACAAAAAGTTCGGTTTCGCACTGGGTTGGAACTGGTGTTAACCCCGATAATAAACGAATTCACTATTAGTTTGACAGTTGCACCATGACGAAGTGGCAGCGTATTCGTGATTTGCCCCACGCGCAAATGTCGCAAAAAGACATTTCAATCGCCGTGGCAGTGTCCCGGTGGACCGTCAAAAGGGTTTTAAAGGGTGATACGGTCAAAATTTGGTCAAGGGAAAACGCGTGTAAATCGGTGAAATCGTTTATTTAAAAAATCAAATTAAATTTCTTTTTCAAGTTCAATTAGTATAAAATTCAGGAAAAATATTCAGTTAGGCTTCCGCTTTTCCAAATCCGAATTGCCGCGCCTTACGCTTGACCCCTGCCATCAGATTTTGTACAGCCACCTTGTCCACCTTCTTCGCCGCAGAAAGCCAGTTTGCCTTGAACTGCTGCTCGCCCTTAGCAGTTTTTTGGTCTTCTTTAGGTTCCGCTTGACAATAGCCCAGTATTTCTCAATTGGGCGGAGCTCTGGCGTGTTGGGAGGGTTCTTGTCCTTGGGAACCACCTGCACGTTGTTGGCGGCGTACCACTCCATGGTCTTTTTACCGTAATGGCAAGATGCCAAATCCGGCCAAAACAGTACGGAACAACCGTGTTTCTTCAGGAAAGGCAGCAGACGTTTATTCAAACACTCTTTCACGTAAATTTCTTGGTTGACAGTCCCGGAAGCTATGAAAATGCTGCTTTTCAAGCCACAGGTACAGATGGCTTGCCAAACCAGATATTTCTTTGCGAACTTTGACAGTTTCATGTGCCCTTCCTTTTGCCGTATAAAACTCCTGTCCCGGAAGCTGCTTGTAGTCGGCTTTGACGTAGGTTTCGTCGTCCATTACCACGCAGTCAAACTTCGTCAGCATCGTCGTGTACAGCCTCCGGGATCGCGCTTTGGCCGTCGTATTTTGTTTATCATCGCGATTTGGAGTCACTACCTTCTTGTAAGTCGATAGTCCGGCTCGTTTTTTGGCTCGATGCATGGTTGTAGACGATACACCCAGCTTATTTGCGGCATCTCGGAGAGAGAGGTTAGGGTTTCGCTTGAAACTACCGGCAACTCTCTTTGTCGTCTCAGCGGCTTCCGGTTTTCGATTTCCCCCCGATCCAGACTTCCTGGCTGTCGACAAACGTTCCCCAAACACTTTAATTACATTTGTAACGGTTGATTTGGCAACTTTTAGCGATTTTGCCAACTTTGCGTGCGAGTAGCTCGGATTTTCGCGATGCGCTAGCAAAATTTTGATACGCTGCTCTTCTTGCTTGGACGGCATTTTGACAACTGAAGAGTGAATTCCAAAATCAAAATAGGAGCAACATTCTACACACACACACCTTCAAAATGAGGGGTGTTCAGGTTTTTTAAATTCAAAATTGAAAGAAATACGTCAAGTTGATGTTGACCAAATTTTGACAGTATCACCCTTTAGACCGAGAAAAGATTCGGTTGAATCCAGTGCGTTCAAAAAGGAAAATGGCAAAGGAACACGATATCAGTGACTTTACGGCACGGAAGATCGTAAAGGAAGATTGCGGGGCGAAGTCGAGGGCACGGAAAAAACTCACATGATTACCAACCGTATCCGGGAGCTACGAGTCGAACAATGCAAGAAAATCTTGAACTTCCTCAAGCGAAAAAATCCGGTAATCCTGTTCACCGACTAGAGCATGTTTACCGTCGATCCCGTATCAAATTCCAGAACCGACCGGTATTTTAGTTCTCTTCCGGTAAAAGACGTAGCCGACAAGCACAAGAACGTGTACCTAACCAAGCACCTGTTAGCGCTGTGGTGTTTGGATTGATGGCTTCCGATGGCAAAAAAATGGACCCGGTGTTCATTCCAGAAGGCGACAAGGTCAACACGGAGGTCTACATCGGGATTTTAAGTAAGTATGTTCTTCCGTGGATCAAAGAACAGTACGGTCCGAAGCCAAATGTTGTATTTCAACAAGATGGGGCTCCGTGCCACACCTCGAACCGCACTCAGAAGTGGTTGCAGGAACATCTTCCGTTCTGGGCGAAGGATATGTGGCCGCCATCCAGCCCCGATCTTAATCCGCTGGATTACTCAATATGGCGCGTCATGAAGGCCAAGGCCTGTTCTAAACGCCACCCGAGTACAGCCAGCCTCAGACAAACATTGACCCGTACCTGGAGAGAAATGGATCCAGACTACATTATTAGAACCTGCCGTGCATTCCGGAAGCGTGTGGAGGCCGTAATTGCAGCAAGTGGAAACTCGATCGATGATTAACATAGTTTAAGACTCTGAGAAACATCCCCCTTTGAATTAATAAAAAACTCGAAAACGAAATTTTTGAGAATTGTTTTAATTTTGACATTGCTCAATGGTGCATACATTATCACGCATACGGTAGTAGTCAGCTTGTGCCTTTTAAAAACTATTGAAAACATTTATAGGAGAGCATGGAGTCAAATAAGCCGGATTGTGAAATAAAATATTAATGTTTTCCAAATTTAAACTAAATATTTAAAAAAGATAATTTGTGCATCTCATACAAAACACTCAGAAAGTGGATTACAATAGTCTAAAGGACAAAACTGATTCAAGTGCATGTTTTGATCGTATTTTGCCCCGGTATCTTTTATTAAAACAATTCACTTTATTTGTAAGATTTCTGATGACTGAACAGTTTCTGTCGCCAAAATGCTGATACGAGAGTTAAGTTTTCTTGAAGTAAAAAGGAATCTAAGCATCACATGTGCTTGTTTTTGTACTGTGTACGAACAAATAAATGCATTATGAGAGTCTGATTTACCCCTTAATCTTTTATCAATTGAAAGCATTTGAACTGGTTTATTGGCTTAAGTTAACAATATCTTTCTTTGGAATTTTCCAAATATACCATTTATAAGCCACTAAGTGAGCTTCGATCAACTATTGGAAAAATACGTGACCATGTTACAGTCGCTATAAATCGATGAAGACGGATGGAGTATTGAGTGAAAACCCAAAACTTGATTTTGTGATATAATGTGTAAAAAAGCCTAAATTTTCAAATGTTTTTCAAATCAAAATCTAAATATTTTAATATGATTTTATTTATCCTAAAAATATTTTTTGATAAAATTTCATTTTATATTTTGATTTTTGAAAAAAAAGCCAATTTTGAATTGATTTTTTTCGGTGGAATGGAAATGGTCACTCTAACGACAAAATTTAACAAAAATGCGGGTCTAATATTTTGCGAAAAGGAACAGAACTACAATTTTTTACGAAGTTCTGAGAACCACTTTTCGTTTTGCTATGGGTTGGCTGAATATACCTCTGAGATATTTTGAGGAATTAAAGTGAATTTCATCTACATTTTGAATCATTGATCACATTTTGCGTTCACTAGCGCATTTTTTGAAAATTCGCTCAGGAATCATGTATTTCTCATCAAATTTTACGTTAGATATAATTTTCAGCACTTTTAAATTACATAGGTTGAATATGTAAAAAAAATCATCAGTGCCAGGAAAAAAGATAAAAGCATTTTAGTGAACAATTGTTCAAAAAATATTAAAAACATCAATTTCAGTAATATTTTATAAAACTACTTGCATCTCAGTTGTTTGAAGATGAACAGCTGGTATCTTTTCATAAAATTCTACGTTCTACAACGTTGCCCAAGACAGCAAATCTCTATCTTGCAAAATAAAAAAAAAGTTTTGTCACTGAGCCATCTTTGCGGCCAAAACTTGAACTATTTTTATTCAAGAAATTGTAGTCCTAATTAATCCTTCACTCAAGACGTAAACTCAATTGGATGCAATCTCTCTCCCTCTGTGAACTGAGATATAACAACTTTTTTTTTCAGGTACCCTACAAACATGCAACGTAAAATGAAATGCTCCCGACCGAAAAAAAATGCTACTAACCGGAAAGTACGACTGATTTAGCTTTATGTCCAAAGTGACGCTCGGATGTCAGTCGCAGAATAACTTAATTTTCATGAGTTTTTCGTAGTTTGATCGAAACAGAAAATAAACCTTCCCAGAACTTCCAAGCACCCACAAAATTTCTCTTCATGGAAACGGGTTGCGGTTTGCTCAGGATTTTTCGAAAAAATAACGGACGATACACGCAAACAAGTGTCTTCCGAGAAAGGGCGCTTGCCCACCGTTCTTCTGAATTCATTTCACATTCCCGGGATTCAATGCTTACTTACCCGTTAATACATCGGAAAGTTCCAACCGCTAAACTTTCGGCATTCTAAAAATGACCGCCGATTCCAATTTTTAAAACATTAATTTATTTTCTCTTAAAATTTACAATCATCTACGAAGATCTCTCTTTCTCTCAGCTGTTTGATTATGTACAGGATCACCTACTGCAGAAGCGCTTTTCACTAACCATCATCATCGCCGTTGCCTTCGCTGCCGTCGTCGTCGTCGTCGTCGTCGTTAAAGTTAAAGTTTGCCCATAAATGGCCAGCATCCATGTCATGGCTATCGTTGCTCCAACGACGGCGGCCACGAACGGATGCCAACCGGAGCCCAACCGCAGCGCCATCTGTCCACTTGTTTGCATCGCCGCAGGATGCTCACCTACACACGCATCCCGGATGCGGAGTTGAAAAAAAAAAAGAAACACGTTTGTCATTAACAAGTGGGAGAATTGTAAACTGGGACCGGGACCGAGAGGTGGGAGGGATTTTCATGATGGGAAATGTGTCGTTTTCGATAGCAACTCACCGTTCAGCACGTACACCTGGACGCTGGCTGGGATGGCCCCCGCTGGGACGCACGTGTAATTGCCGGAGTCGCTGACTGTGGCCTTGGTCAGGAGCAACCGACTGCTGGTGCCGGCGTCCGTTTTCTCCGTTTCCAGGCTGATGCCTCCGCGTGCCGAGTCAAAGTTGACAATCGATGTGCCGTGGTACCTGCGGTTGAGGTTATAGGGAAAATTGGTCGTTGGTGTTACTGCTGTTCTGCGGTACAACCCCCACGCACGGTATAAGAAGAGTGAAAGTGATACGACCACTTACCAGGTGATTGACGGGGCGTGAAAGTTGACCACACAGGACAGGGAGATGGTACTGCCCTTCCGCACGTGGGCTTCCTGTGAACCGAGAATCTTTGCTCGGGCAGCTGCAAGAGGTTGAAGAGGATTGATAGAGAAGGGTGAGTGGAGTTTGTGAAATACATTTTGGAAGGTTTAATCATTTAAAGAGTTCCCACACACTGCGTGATATGACTGTTCAAGGTCATTCGTTATGGATTATTTTAGTCCACGGGTTAATATTCATATCTAAGAATTGTTCTTTGGAAAATCTTTCAAAGATAAAAGAATCTTTTTCCATTGAAGAAGATGACCCATAAAAGCGCCATATCAAAAATGATTCATCATTATTGTAAGTTTATAATGTGTCTGTAGGCAGGGATGAAAACTAATCAAATTTAACAAAAACACTCACATTAACCCATTGGTTACAGAGAACTTTGAGAAACACTCAAACATCACTCATGAGTCTGCATTAAAAGTACATGACGCTGAAGATTGAGCTGCCTTCTGTAGTTGCTTTGTTCTTTTTTATTCTGGCTATGAAGCAGGAAATCCATGGAATACCAGATACCTACCGTTTGGCGTAATCAAATCAAAAAACGGATCTTATTTTTGTCGCTGCCTGAGCTCATTAAAAACTAACTATTCTTATGTAAAAAATAACAACATATCGAATCAACACATGGTTTCATCAACGGTAGAAGACGGGAAGTGGCCTATTTTGCCCCATTCTCCCAAAATTTGCCATTAATCTGAAGAAATCCTCGTATAATATTGTGGCGATTAAACCATCTGGTGACGTACCGTTCCTCAAATCTTGATAGGTGACTTGAAGCATTTCATGAATCTGAGAAACATATTTAAAAGTTGAAATGATAACGCTGCACTTATTGGTCTATTTCCGGATGTTCATTTTCCACACTATCCTCTTCAGAACTTTCTCTAGCTAATAAATTATCGTTTTTTTTTTTTCATGTTTATATTAGTGTAGCATTTCCCCCAACTCTGAATATGGTAGACTTTGACATATTGTACCTTTGTTTTCCTATGATCAAATGAACAGAAATCATCGTCACAGAACTACAAACATGCCCAATTTTGCGGTTACCAATACAATAATTTTAGAAGCATCTACCAGAAAGTGAGAAACTAGGCTTAATTTTTCGAATTCATTCTAACATCTGTGAAAACTTGCATGTTTGTGTGCTATGAGCGATCATTCATGTTTTTGAACAAAATCAACCATTTTGGATCCGCTTGGGATCGCAGTAGGCTCAGCCCACGGATGGTTGGGTTTTCATGAGCTGTCACGAATTTATCTGTTTTTCCGCGGAGTGATTTTTCAAGTTCAAATTAGTTTTTTTTTTTTTACAAAATGTGTGATAAGTATTTGCACGATTGATTGATATTGTAGTGAATCTTATGCGCGTGTGTTTTAATTAAGAAAATATCGTAATTGGTGTTTAGGGAAAAGACCGGTTGAGAGGGTCTGCCGGGTGGCGAAGCGCTACCAATATAACTGTGAAAGATTGGGCTAGAGAAAGAATTGTGGTCGTTGCCAAGTTGAAATGTGACTTGAATAGAAGCAGGAAGAATCATCGTCAAGGAAGTTACAAATAACAGAAGAATAGAAAAAAAGGAGATGAAAAAGTTTATGAAGATTGATCAGTCATGCAAACCATCCGTTTTGGTGAGACCGTTGCATTTTATATAATTTAATATTTATTATGAAGAATGACGTATTTGTGCTTTCGCTCCGCGTTTGTTTTTACTTCGATAGAATAAAGTGCTGATGTTTCCGTTAGTTATAGTTAAATTCTGGAAAAGGTTTGAAAAATTATTGTAACTTCATATATCCCCATTAGGGTCCACATGGTTCATCAAGTGGTAGTTACGAAAAAAGAAAGAAGCGACCGAAGGAGGTTTCCATTTGTGACATTTCATAGCAGTTTTTCTGAGCTCGGAAAAGTTGACCAGTTCAGTTGCGATCATTCCTTTTTTTTATCTATAAAATTGGAATTTGGCTAACATTGGAGGCAGTTGGTGAGATCTGTCCATTATACTTTATTATAAAAATCAGTCATTACATCACATGTTATTGTAACATTCACTCTTACATAACTTGGAGCGTTTGGTACGGTATGACCATGCAAGCATCCTTCTGTAGTATGAAGGTGCGATGAGCAAATAAAATAAATAAATAAAATCAAATTAGAAAATAATAATTGTGTTTTAATATCCAGAATAGAAAATACGAAGTCATTTCCCCATTAATCAACTGGTAACCGCCATTCCTAATTGTAGTAATAATAATAGTAATAAAAATATTTGAACTTCCCTAATGAGATTGAATTCTCCTTCGCAATCTCTGATTGGTTGAAGTGTAAAAGCCTTCAGTTATTTAAAGAGCGTGTACTGTCCATGTGGGTCATTCGTCATTATTCTTTGCTCGACGGTCGAGCTGTTCAGTCCGTATTTTCGTTCGAGTTCTCAATTCGATTTTGTTTCGTTTTGTGCTGTCACGTTGCGCCGTGGAAGTGTCGCCACCTTCTCGCGTTCTGGCAAGTTTAATTGAACTTGCAAACACGAAACAAATGGTGCGTAAACGTGCCAATGAGTCAGCAGCGGGCCCTTCAAAGAAGGTACTATTCAAGCCCAGCGCGTCACAGGATGACGCCGGAAAACGAGTACTGCAAGCCAACCAGTATGCAGTACTCCTGGAAGAAAATGGCGATGGTGACGCCATTCCCATTGCAAGACGAGAGCGCTTTTCACGCCGGTGAAGGATGTTGCCAAGCTGGGTGCCGAACTGGCAAAAAACAAGCTACTGCCTCGCTTCAAGCTTTGCAGCATCGGTACCAAAATCATGTGCTCCAGCCTGGAGGAGTACAAACAAATAGGAAGTTTCCTGAAGAACAACAACGTGGACTTCTTCACGCATGATCTGCCACCGAGCAAGCCACTGAAGGTCGTTTTGCATGGATTACCGTCGTTCGAGGCTGCTGCGGTGAAGTCCGAGCTGGAGCGGCTTGGGCTCCAACCTGAGGCCGTGTTCGAGATGAACCGGCGTCCCAACCAAACCACCAGCTTCCGTGATCAGTTGTTCCTGGTGCATTTCACGAAGGGATCTACCAGTCTTGCGGCTCTGAGATCCAAAATCCGGGACCTGTTTCAGGTCATCATCAGTTGGGAGCATTACAAACCCCAACATCGTGATGTAACGCAGTGTATTAACTGGCTCTCCTATGGCCATGGCACCAAAAACTGCCACATGAAGACAAACTGCGGCAAGTGTGCTGGAACTCACTCAACTGCGTCCTGTGAGCACGTTGATGACATCGAACCAACGTGTGTCAACTGCGGTGGAAACCACCAAGCCTCCAATCGCGGATGTCCCAAGCGAGTGGAGTTCATTAATATCCGTCGGAAGGCCACAATCAACAACCAGCTCGGTCGCCTTCGTAATCATCGTTCGCCTCCGGTACTAACGGAAGTCCAGTACCCAGCTCTCCAGCCCCGTAGACATGTTCTGAACCTAGCCCCGCTTCCGCTCAACAACCAACAAGCCAATCCTGCGAGTATCCAAATGGTTCCCAACAGTCGGACAGTTCTGCAGCGGCCCAGCCAATTCCAGGTTCATCCACCGCCCCTGGTTTATCATACGCTGGTGCTGTCTCAGGTGAATCTGTCGACGATTCTCCGTTCACCTCGGAGGAACTTGTGACGCTCGTGGTCGAGGTCATCATCATCATGCGTACTTGCAAGACTCGATCTGAACAGCTTCATGCTGCCTTGTCACTCGTCACCAAGTATGGACCGTGAAGCTATAAAAATTGCAAATTGGAACGCTTGCTCACTGACGAACAAGCATAGAGAGCTACTCGATTTCCTCAACACCAAGGAGGTCGACATTGCTATCATCACCGAGACGCATTTGAAGCCCGAACTGAACATATTCCTTCCCGACTTTCGGCTCGTCAGACTTGATCGCACCTGCTCTGGAGGTGGACGAGTGGCCATCGCTGCAAGACGGAACATCAGTTGCCGGCTGCTACCAAACTTCCAGCTGAAAACAATTGAAGCCATCGGAGTGGAGGTGAGCACATCACTTGGCCCAATCACCATCATCGCGGCCTACTGCCCCAAGCAAACAAACATCAGGGACGGGTCGTCAGTGGCCCTCCGGAAAGACATCATCAAACTCACCCGGAGGAGCGGGAACTTTATCATCGCTGGCGATCTGAACGCAAAACACCAAGCTTGGGGCAACGGTCGGAGCAATAGAAACGGCATCATCCTCAATGAAGACCTGCAAGAGGGTCACTATACCGGTTGAGTCGGTCTGGGGTCCATGCGACCATCGACATCTTCGTAAGCAACATGGGACACAACATCTCGCAACCTGTGGCATTCCAGTAGCTGAGCTCGGACCACTACCCGGTGGTGGCCGAAGTTGGATACTCGGTAAACCGATTCGAAGCTTCCCGGTGCAACTACCATCGAGTCAACTGGGCGCAATGTCAACACTACGTCGACACAACCATCGACTACGATGTCCAACCGGGGACGTCCGAAGATGTTGACCGGTGTCTACAAACCATCGAGGAGGCGATTTTCCGGGCTAGGGAACAACACGTGCCAGTATCTAGACAGGTGAGTAGCACTCTGAACCTTGACAGCCCTACCAAAGATCTCATTAGACTCCGTAACACCATTCGTAAGCAGTACCAGTGTACTGGCCTGCCTAACTTGAAGACCAATTGTAATCGATTAACAAAGATTGTTTAAGCCAGGATGGTGGATCTCAGAAATAACGATTTTGCTAGTAAGATCCGCTCTCTCCCAGATCCAGCCCTTCTGGAAACTTAGAAAAATTCTTAAAAACAAGCCTAGGTCCATTCCACCACTGACCCCTCTGGATCATCCCGGCGACCCAGTGGTTCATCTGATAACTCCTGAAGAGAAGGCTGCCGCGATAGGTCAACACTTCGTCAGCTCTCATAATCTCGGACAAAACATCGTCAGCCCTCATGAATCTGAGGTTGCTGAAAATGCAACCAATCTTCTTCAGATTCCTAACATTTTT